AGAAATAATATATAATAGTAAATATAAAAATATTATATGTTACATATTTATAAGATTATTGTGTTAGAATTGATGTGTAATCAATTTGTTTATTTGTTACAGAGGCTTTGGAAGCATATAAAGCATCGATACGAAAATCCAATGACGGAAACTCGATACACTCACAACGATCAACCACAGGCTTCCACCGACAACAAAGAAAATCATTAAGGATGCATATATGGGTATATATGAATAGAGCTAGGATAATAATATTAATAATCAAAGCTTGGAAGTTAAGTTTTTTATTGAGTTTTAATAATTATAATTTAATGTAGGATTACGTTACGTTTGGTAAGTCGGTTGTGTCACGCTGACGGATTCTCTCTTCTCCGACGGAGTGATTATACGCAGATATCGGTCCAGAATTCAATCAAAAGCCCTTTGATTACTTGCGTTAATCTCACGAACGTGACGAGAACATCATAGATCGTGTTTTCAGTAAACTTCCTAATTAACTACTTTAATTTCAAGTTACAAAATGTTGAATTATCTTTTTCTCTGAACAAAATATGCATTGATTACTTCTTGCACTATTTTAATATGCATTATTTTAAAAGTACCTATTGCTGCCTATTCATGCCAGTGTACGAATTAATACAATTTAATGAAAGCGGATGGAAAAACTAAACTTATATCTAAAATGTAAGTCGAAAAGAGAATTAATATAAATTCGTGAAAATAGCACTCAAATATTTTGTTGTTTTCATATAATACTTATACAAATACATGGCTTTTAATAAACATTGATATTGCCACACATCACATCCGGGTTCTAGAAATATGAGATAAGCAATGCTGATTTTTAGTACTATGTGATGGTATAAATACAAGCTGCAGTTCCAAACTGCAGCATTCAGTGAGAAGCAGCGAGAGATAAATCAAGTAGATTTGAAACAATAGTTTTTCCGAAACAGATCTATTCGAAAGTTGCAAGTTGAATATCGAGCAAGTTTTTGAAAATCCTAACAAGATGGTAGGTAACATTTACATTACTTTTTATTGGTATTAGTACTAATTAACATTAGTGTGATATAATCATCATTATTATAATTTTCATAAACTTTAACCATGCAAAATTAATTTAGAAACTATTTTTTTAGTAAATGAACGCATTCGATCCTTTGTGTTGTTAGTTTCTTTATTTTTTTATTCAAAGATGTATGAATTGTACACTTTATAGTCAAAAGTAATTAAAATATAAAAATAGTATGTATTTTTTTCTCTCTTAAGTTTATACTGTCTCAAACAAATAGATAGATTTACGTATTATATAAGAGAGAATTGAAATATTGTAAAATAACACGATTTTAACGATTTTCTTTGTAATGGAAAAAAATATTTATAAATAAAATATTTTTCCTACTCGAGAGAGGGCTGAAAACTTTTGATCGTAAAAATTTTTCACGAAAAATGAACAATTTACAAGGAACTTTTCGATTCTTATAATTATCTATCTAATAGTTGCTTCATGTTTTTTTGTTGCAATTTTATAATATTTTATATATAATTTTACATATAATTAGAATAACTTTTAAACAAGTTCATAGTTGAGTGAAATTTTAGCAAAGACTCGTTAAAATTTTGTTAGTGTATGTGAAAAAATTTTGATCTGGCTAACAATGTTTCTTTTTTGCAAAATTTGCCAATAAGCAATTTTCGATAAGAATCAAAATATAATATCACAAACATTAAATATTTCTTAAATCGATCAGAGTCTTGTGCTTTTCTTTTTCGAGCAGATGTTCAAAAGAAACAATAAAACAATATACGAGATTTTTACGTTTTTATTTATGGCATTACATCCTTAATTTATTTAATATTGATGTTTTATTTAAGTTTCTCATTTTTTTATTTATCTCCAGCATGCTATGCTATCATGCGTGTATATATAATGACTTCATATAATATCACGTTATCTTTTTATTTTTTTTACAGATAAAATATATAATAATTTTCGCATTATTATTCGTATTTGCGAAAAGCTTTCATGGTCAAGATATTCAAGCAATATCTACAGATTTTGAGGGACATGATAAAAATTATAATTTAAACCTCATCAAAAATGAGAAAAAAAGATGTGGAAACTTCGAAAGTTTAAATTTAGATAATATGAATTTACACGTTATAAAGAATAACATTATTCAAAGTGATCATATTCAACATATATCACTGCATAATAATAATTTAGATGACATTTATACCATCTTGGATAACGTTCCGAATTTATTTTGCTTAAACCTAAGTCGAAACGAGATTAATATCTATAATGGACATGAACTTCGACATTTAAATCTTAAAATGTTAGATTTAAGTTATCAGAAAATATCAGAAGCAAAAGATTTGGAGGAACAAGATGAAGAAACGAATGACATCTACAAATATATAATTTTCAACAGCACAGGCATGAAATTACCCAATTTACAATATCTAGATTTAAGCGGAAATGATATCTCCACTTTATTGTGGGATTTTAATGTGTCATTTCCACAATTGATACAATTAGATTTAATTAATGTCAAGGCAGATGAAGTAGAGCCCGCATTTTTTAGCAAAATACCAAAATCTTTGCGCGTTCTCCATTTGGAGAACAACTATCTGCATAATTTGACGTTACAAAATATGGCGGAGGTGACGGCTTTATATTTAGATGAAAATCCAATTTTAAGAATAATCGATATCGCTTCAAAAAAATTGAAAATCTTATCGTTATCAAATTGTCCGAGCTTAGGACATGGAAATTTTGATATACCTTTTTTAGAACAATTAGATCTTTCTATGAACGACTTTGAAACAGTGTCGTATATTAATTTTCAAGTATTTCGCTCGTTGAGAATACTACTATTGGATTATAATAAACTACAGAAAATTCCTTTAATAAGTGACTTACAACAATTAAATGAATTATCATTGAATTTTAACATGATTAAAGATATACCATCCAATATTTTTTCATATTTCCCATCATTAAAAAAATTATCATTAAGAGGAAATAAAATAGAGCATATTGAAAAAGATAGCTTTTTAGGTTTGAACAATTTAGAATATTTAAACTTATCTGAAAATGAATTAAGAAGGTTGCCTTACAATTGGGCAACATCATTAATAAATCTGAAATATTTAAATATGAATTCAAATCAATTCCCAAACATTTTAGATTTGGCTGTTAACTCGGCTGTTGTATCATTAAAACATTTATCTGTAAAAGATAATATATTCACAAAAAAGATAACTACAGCAGAATTGGCATATTTGCCAAATGCAACTACCGTATACGTAGTTTAAGACTGCTAAGCATATTTTCAATATCCATATAATATTCCATATATATATAAATATTTCTAATTTTTTTT